TGAGTGGTGACCAGATTACACATTGAGAAAAGGCTGCTTTTACTCATTTAACAAAGTTTCCTTAACACCAACTGAGTGCCCGGCACTGTGTGTGACATTCGGGAGGGGTAGAAAGTAATGGATGGCCCTACCCTTTCTCAGCCTTGGTACTACTGGCACATTACAAGGAGTTTGGGGGCCCTAGCCAGTTTGGCTCAGTGGATAGAGCGTCGGCCTTTGAACTGAAAGGCCCCAGGTTCGAATCCGGTCAAGGGCACATGCCCGGGTTGCAGGCTCGATGCCCAGTGCAGAACTTGCAGGAGGCAGCCGATCCATGATTCTCTCTCATCATGGGTGTTTCTCTTTCTCTCTCTCTCTCTCTCTCCCTCTTCCTTTCTCTCTGAAATCAATAAAAATCTATTTAAAAAAGGAAAGGAGTTTTGGGGGTCCTCCACCACCCTAATCCGGTGTTTCCCCCACTCACTCTTCAAGAGGTCTTTGTCTGCTACTCCCACCACAAGCTGCTCCTGGGCCAGGACGCAGGCGACACTGAGCAACACCTTGTGGGCATTGTGCAGGCGGTCAAACGTGCCACCCACAGCCCCTCGACGGTAGCCACGCACCGGCTGCTTTGGAGATCTGGCCACAGGGGAGGACGGCCTGATGGTGGAGGGTAAGGAGACCTCCACAGGCAGTTCTCCGTGCTCATACTCAGGGTAGAGCAGCACTGAAGTAAGTTGGGGACAACAACTGTAACAGCTGGTGGCGTAACGCTCTAGCTGTTGCTTGACCGGGTTGTACTGGCTTCCATCCAGGGTCTGGAAGTCAGTCAGCACCACCTCCGGCGGGTGGGCCAGATTCTGGACGGAGCTGGCCAGGGGAGGGAGAAAGGCGCTCTTGGTTCGGATGTTGGTGAGCAGAATCCTGATGTCCAGGTGCGGGTGCACGTTGGCGCCAGCGTAGAAGTGAGAGATGAAATCCAGAACCTCAAATGTGGCCTGCACGGGGGTGGACAGGGGCTGAGCCGGGCCCTCCAGGCTCATGCCCGGCTGCAGGTGTACATAGAGTGTGTCGTTCACGAGCCGGGCCGCAGAGGTCAGGATAGGGGCCAGGCGAGTGGCCAGGGAGGCCAGCGGCGTCGTCAGCACCAGGAGGCCCGACCGGAATAAAGCCATGCTGCCCAGGCCTGTGGACAGTCAGGGAGACCAGCAGAGGGTGACTGAGGGGGATGTGCCCGAGGGGGATGTCTGTACGGGGCCTTGGACCCAAGACAGGGGACATAGAGGGTCTGTGCCAACCGACAGGAACCGGGGGAGGGGACGGGGCCTGGTGAACCGCGCCTCGGGGCTGTGCTCCAGGACTCGGTTTCCTCCTCCCTCAGACGGGGAGGTGAGCTCGCTGAACTGAACCAAAATCCCGGGAGAGGAAACTAGACGTGAGCCCCTGAGTCATAGGGCGGGGGATGCAGAAATTCTGGGGCCTCCTGCTAAGCTGTACCAGGGCCTTCAAGGACTCAAACGAGGGGACTAAAGGCAGGCACTCGGGCTCGGTTCGGTCTCCTACTTACTGGTACCTCCGGGGTCTGGTTCCACTGGCAGCACCACTGACGCTTTCCCGAGATGCAACCCGGAAGCACTAGCTAAGAAGGGCGACTCTGAGCTACGGAATCCGGGAAAGGCCAAAAGTCTCGATTTCTGTTCGGCGCGGGATTCTCGCGAGATTTCTCATGGGGCGGGGCCGAGATTTGAGCCCCTAGGGGACTGTGTGCAGGAGGGCGAGTCTAGCTGGAAAGCCAGCCGGTTTCC